TCTCTCTCTCTCTCTCTCTCTCTCTCTCTCTCTCTCTCTCTCTCTCTCTCTCTCTCTCTCTCTCTCTCTCTCTCTCTCTCTCTCTCTCCATGAAACAGAACAGGCAAGTCCATACCTGATATCATAATTGACAACCTACGACGACGACGACTCCGAATCATCACTCTCCGATGACTCATAGCGTCGACGACGTGAACACACCCCCGACTGTTCAGACTCTGACGGTTCTCTGCATCTACGACGTGAACGGGTCCTGGACAACCCACGCAGCGCACTGGCCAGCAGAGCATACCCATCGCCCCGTGATCGAATGTCCTCGCGCATCACAGCGCAGGTCATCTCCGTTAACTCCTTCTGCGCCTGCATTTCGCGCTCACACAGTCGGCCTAGTGTCTCGCAATGCAGCTCCGTGCATTCCTTGTTCATTTTACCTTGCTCTGAGGCAGACTTCGTCATCGCGTCGGTGTGTTCCCTCATAGCATCCGTAACCCCGTTCAAGGTCTGTTCCCTTGCGCTCACGTTCTTCCGGCGTTGATTGGAAGGGGTTGCGGGGGCCACACCTGTCATGGTCGAAGATCCTGCAACCGAACCCCCTCCTCAGATCTCAGATCCGTGTGCATTCCCTTCTCCCGCCTGACCCTCACCACCGCCGCCACCCCCTTCAGGAGAACGAGGAGGCACTGGGAGCTGCACTTCTCGGTTATCCACCCCCTCACCAGCGGGGGCAGGAGGCACGGGCCGCACTTCCTCCTCTGCACCCGTATCCACCAAATGCGTGGGGTTCGTAGTCTGACTTCTCTTGTTGTACGGCGCGAGCACGTCATGTTGAAATCGAGGTTGGCTTGGGCCCTTTGTGATGGGGTCATTTTCCAGTAACTCTGCCGCCCGCTCCTGTCGTCATTGTCGTTAACTTTCCCGAACCACCTCTTCACAGTGTTCCATCGCCTCTTGCACTCTTTCGGATCCTGCTTAAAACTTTCCTTCGCCAAATCTGCCGAAATTTCTTCCCACACCTTCGTGTTGGACTTAGCCGCGCCCTTCTTCTCCGAGTTCTTCCCTTTCACCGCCAACTGTTCACAACGAATCTTCAACAAAGCAATGGTCTCCTCCTCTCCCCATTTCCCGTTCGGCGCCGTCCGTCGTTCCTTCTGGGTATTGACGTCCTTCCCACCAGCCTTGTCCTTAGCCCCTTCACCACCTGAACACTTGTCGTCCTTCCCACCAGGTTTGTCCATTGCYCCGCGCCCACCTGAACASTCGACGCCCTCACGAACAGGTYTGTCCTTCACCCCTTGCCCCGCTGACGAGATGGCGTCCTTACCACCARGATTGTCGTCCTCCCCTYGGTCTGCAGGATGATTGATGTCGAAACCGGCATRAATGTCYTGCGCCTCACYGCCCTTGTCAGCGGGGTTACCGGCTTCCCCGATCGCATGCGGAGTATCACCACGAGCATCACCATCGACTTCCTCCTGCGAAGGTAGTGCGTCGCGAACGTCTCGTGGTCCCCTCACCAGTGCAGGCCTTGTCTCCACAGCGCATGCCTGGCCATTGYCGCCCACGTCATCGCACAGCGAAGACCCTCCAGCCAGTGGCGACATTATGTGCAACGTTTCCAACGGAGTTGCCATGGCCGATGTTGGTGCTGAAGCTTGCACGGGAGTGCACARCAGTGGCGATTGAGGAGAAGCTTGCACGGGAGTGCACATCAGTGGCGATTGACRAGGGGTTAGGTGGGAAMTGATGTTATGATGTGGATGCGAATGTGGGGAAGGCAGAGACGGCGGGGTTGACGATGCAGGCATGTGCTGGTCAGGTGTGTGAAAGGTTGATGATGCAAGCATGTGGTGGTCAGGTGTATGCGACRTAGCTGCGAGTGGTGGACATGCATGYATTGAGTGGACGGGCAAAGTAATGGAAGGTGRAAAAAGCACCGAAGAGTGATGGGGTGGGAAATCAAATGAAGACATAGCAGGCGGACACAGATTCCCGACAWGGCCACTARCATAACCCCACGCGCTTGCCACGYCACGAGGTTCTGCTGCCACAAATGATGGAACACTTGGAACATGACGRTCAGTGCCRTAAGAACTCCCTGCTATAGACAACGATGGGCCCGTGTCATGCACACCTGGAGTTTGAACTCGATTTGCAACACCAGCACTGATGATAGGTGGAGACGTCACCAAATGATGGACAACCACTTCACCAACCCTTGCCACATATGGACTTGCGGACGGAGCGGAAGTGCTGTCCTCACACCAGGCAGTCATGTCGTCACTCGCACCTGTGGCACGAAGGAATAGTTTCCTTCTCACTGCGGCTATGCTATCCTCGCCCATGTCCCCTCTCAGCACGAAAGAAGGCTCGACGGATGTAAACGTGTCGCCGGCCCCCATGGTCTGTGTTTCGCCACAGACGAGAGAGGTAGGTCGCTGACGTCCATCCATAGCTGCAGCAAATCGTGCAGGACCAAAAATGCGTAACTCCGTTTGCGTTTACCAGGGTGACGTTGAGAGAGAGAGAGAGAGAGAGAGAGAGAGAGAGAGAGAGAGAGAGAGAGAGAGAGAGAGAGA